AAATGTCCATCAGAGTTTTAGGATAAAAATCAGTTTTAACAAAATAACATCTTACACAATACTCTTTTATTAAGTCGCTCAAAACCAAAGTCACTTATAGGTGATATGTTAATAGTTAACTACATTTTACTAGATATGTCAGAAAGAAAATCCATGTAAAACAATCATTTAAATACACATTAAACCTGGGTCATTCATCTTGTTGTTCCATTGGTGGGTTAATGTTTGTCTATGAGAGGTAGTGGGAGCAGGATGTATCCCTGGCCTCTGCCTGGCTATCATGTCGATCTTAAATATTTAATAGGTGGTGGGGGTAGGGGAAGCACTGTTGATTCTGTTTCCCTAGATAGGGTACTGAGTAATGAGGTAGGAAAACAGTGCACATCTCCTTTTTACATTGTCTTTCTTAGTTGTTCTAAAAGATAGATTGTAGCTTTGGAAAAAAGGAGAGAGATGTCACATTCTATACAAAACTCCTTTTTATATAGCTCTTCGGAGAGGCCGTGGAGCAGATGGCTCTTAGTCAGAGCCGGTGGAGTGCCGGCTTCATGGGTGAGTTTCATGGAGTTTCTTAGTTTGTCTGATCTTCCACTTCTCACCTTTGGAGTTGAGATAATAATAATACCTACCTCACTAGGTACCCAGAAAATGTCAGCCTTCCCCTGTCTGTCTCCTACCACCCCCTTTCCATTCAACAGGTAATTACTGAGACTCTGTTGAGTGTGAGGTCCTGTCCTACACACTCTGCTCTTTTAAGAGTTCAAAAGCTGAGGAACAAAGGCATCGAACCAAATTTTTTGTAACACAGTTTGATGGAAGTATAATAGAACTATCACCTTTCTCTAAATGTTAAAGAAGCACAAAGGAACAACTACTTGTTTGGACCTTAAACCTTTGTATTTGGGGGTCAGAAATTAGCTGAACACTAGGCTGATTTGCAGTGCACGACAATTTGTTGTTGTCATTGGGTTAAGAATATTCTGAGCAGATGTAATATTTTTTTACAGTGGTCACTATCAGAAATTACTGGTTTTAGGAGATTAAAACTATTCAAGGACATGCAGACATGCAATGTGGTTAGCTCAATCATAGCTCACAGGATTGTGGAATTATAATATTTATGAAGTACCTAATACATGCCAAGCTGTACAGATGTAAAAACAGTCTTTGGCCTTCAAGGTTCATGGTTTGGAGGAAAGCAGATAGGACGAGTAGACCCAGAACAGCACGATGCACACCCCGCTCAGGTGATGACTTGGTAATTCCATTGGTCCATAATTCCATTTTGTTGTATTATATATACTGAGGTTAACGTGTATAAAAGAATAATTGTGGGTGGCACTTGTGGCTCAGTGAGTAGGGTGCTGGCCCCATATACCGAGGGTAGCAGGTTCAAACCCAGCTCCAGCCAAACTGCAACAAAAAATAGCAGGGCTTTGTGGCAGGTGCCTGTAGTCCCAACTACTTGGGAGGCTAAAGCAAGAGAATCACCTAAGCCCAAAAGCTGGAGGTTGCTGTGAGCTGTGATGCCATGGCACTCTACCAAGGCCAACAAAGTAAGACTCTGTCTCTTAAAAAGAAAAAAGAAGAAGAATTGTGAAATCATAATTTGATAAGCTATTAAGGTCATTTTAGAATGCTATGGCATTTATCCAATGGTCCATCACTGATTTAAAGTGACTCACAGTCATGACGATGTATTCAGTCATGCTGAATTTGACAGCAGTTCTCCATTCAGATTTGGGAGATGTCATGTTTGGTGGGTAAGTTAGCAAGCATAAAATTTTCTTCTTTCTTCTTAAAGGGTGAAGGCTTAGACTCTGCTTGCTTGGGAATCTCTGCCCTGCCCCAGCCATGGGGTGATAGAAATGCCTGAGGCTCTGGCTCTACTGTTTGTTTTTGTCACCCTTCCAGACCCACCAGGTGTGTCCCCCTCCCCCACATTGTGTTTACAGAACCTTCCAAGGGCCAGGCCTCCTCCTCTGGACCACAGTTCCTAACTGGGTGGTGAACCGTGATCTGGTATCATTTGTTCACTCAAAAGTGATTTCCTAAATATTCACAATACAGACAGAGGCAACAGTGAGACATGGGGGAGCCTTAGGTGGGAGCAGCACTTGTTACTCTGGGTTCTGGGCAGACTGCAGGTTTGGTGCCCCTTCAGACTGTCATTCTTTAAGAGGAAAAGCCAAGCACTGTATGAAAAGGTGGCAAAAGGGCAGCGCCTGTGGCTCAGTGAGTAGGGCACTGGCCCCATATACCAAGGGCGGCAGGTTCAAACCTGGCCCTGGCCAAACTGCAACAAAAAAATAGGCGGGCGTTGTGGCGGGTGCCTGTAGTCCCAGCTACTTGGGAGGCTGAGGCAAGAGAATCACCTAAGCCCAGGAGTTGGAGGTTGCTGTGAGCTGTGACACCTCAGCACTCTACTGAGGGCAACAAAGTGAGACTCTGTCTCTAAAAAAGAAAGAACAGAAAAGGTGGCAAAAGAGCCCCTGTATGTCCTCCTTTTTCCAGTTCCCACAATCTCAGCTCCAGGAGGAAATAGCCGTCAGGCTCCCTATCTTTCCTAACCACGTCGAGAATAGCTCTGGGAGATGCTGTTTTTGTTTAACCCAGTTACATTTTCAGAGGTCTTTTAAACATTCCGCTGATGAATCAATATGTGGCAGCTGCTGTGATATCCAAGACCTTAATCTAGTCCTGAAGAGAAAACTCGAGAGATCCCTGGGGCACAGATAATTAAGATACTGTTCTAGCACCCCAGGAATTTGGGGCAATAATTTAACACGAATATAAAACAGTGTAAGAGAAATATTAGTCAATGTGTTCTAGGAACACAGATGAAGGTGGCCATTCAGGCGGCTCCTGGAGGTGATTCCACTTGATCAGAGTGAGACAGATGATGAAACTGAATGACCCTAGTTTGAATCCATCTGTTATTCATAGTTTTGAACTTTTCAAATTGATATGGGCATCTTTAATTTTATGTAACCTAACGCCTTAAACTTTTATAGTTGCCTGAGGTCAGGTGGATGACTATAATGTCACAGTGATTCCTGCCCTAACTTCGAAGTCAAGTGCTGTGACTATGCCTTTAACCTAATACACATCTTTGGACCAATGAGTCTTCACCTCTTGCTCTTAAGATTTTATTTACTGATCTACTAATCACTAAAGACCAGTGCACCCAAATGGAAAACCATTCTCGAATTCCAAAATCATAATAGTAGTTCTTTGCTCTCCTCCAAAGGAGTTTATGTTGTCAAATGTGCTGTCTGTATGGACCAGAAGGAAATGACAGCATCCAGACCTGTCCACTTCCGAAATAAAAGCACCGGGGCCTTTTATTGTTCTAGCAGAAAGCTAATTGCTGCCTTATTGTTCCTTAATCCTTAGTCACTTGGGAGTGTTTCCTTACCCGTCCCCGTGCAAGATGAAGGGGATTCTCGGTGTTATGCTTGGTGTATCTATTTGTCCAAAATACCTTTTATTCTTTTAAGGTTATCTTGGAATTGATTGCACAAGTTAAAATACGTGTGTCTTGTGTCCTGCCACTGGGAGAGAAAATGTCTTTGAGGGAGTGGGTGCAGCTAGTTGTGCGATGCTCATTAGCATGGCAAGCTGGGGAACCACTGACACAGCCGCCTGCCTCAGCAGCTGGGCTGTCAGAATTGCTGTGACGGTCTTTGTCCTCTTTTTACCCAGCCTGATATGGACTCTTTATTCTAAGGAGCATCGCCATTCAGTATTTTCACATTTAATTCCTTTCAGTTTGGTACTTCTGCTGAGGAGGTAGAATGGTAATGACTTTTGCTACAGTTTCTAAAATGAGTTTGAATGATTCGGTGCTGGCCTGGATAAAGAAACTCAGCAACACTGTGTTATTTCTTTTCACACGACTGCAGTGGCTGCACCCTGAGATGACCAATTGTCATCATGAGAGAGCTGTCACAGAGTTCTACATTTATATCATCTCAGTAGGTGCTCCTCTAGTTTAGGGGAATGTTAAATAGAAAAGAGGAATGAACGTTGTTAATAAGCGTGTGGGAAAATGTTCAGCCCAACTCAAAGAAGTAAAAAATAGAGGAACAATAAGATCAGCTTTTTCATGGAAAAAGTGAAGTTTTTTTTTATGATGATTCCTAAATCTGGTGAGGTGCGACTCATGTGTTGTTTACAAGAAAGATTAGTATACTGTTTTGAGAAAATACTTTGATACTATCTATCAAAGGCCCTGAAATGTTCATGCTTTATGACCCAGTTCCCTTATTTTGGAAGTATGTGCAAAAGATATTATGTGAAGAACACAGAGATGTTTATAGTATTAGCAATGAAAAAAGAAAATCTAAGATCCAGTAGGGGAATTATTTTGTAACCTGGAATATATCCATGCATGAATTATTACTTCTGTCCAAAATGATGTTTAAAGGAACATCGTAAGAGCATCAAGAAAGCCCATGATCATAGGTATTGATGATAACAGGCAAAAGCAGATCTTGATATTGTTGCTGAATTTGACAATGGCGGAATTGTACAGAAGTAGCTGATCGACAGAAAGAACAGAAATTGGATGGAGAAAACTATCCCAAATATTAAGTCTTTTTTCCATGTTTCTGCTATTTAAGAAGCTTAGATATTTTCAATTTGTTTTTCTATCTGTTATTCATAAAATCTGTGGTGCCTCAGACATAATGCTGATCTCATTCTCCATTAAAAATTTAGTGTTTCTATTTTGTGTCTTATAAGTACCTTTGTGATAAGATGAAGTGGGTAATTCGTGCCAGTGATTTTCATCTCTCCCTGGTTAATGTGTGTTAATAGATGATACCTTTTGTAAAAAGTCAGGAGGTGATCTCTTAATAATCACTTAAAAAAATTATCCGTTGTATTTTTCATGAAATTACTGTATGTTGGAAATTTTAGAACCACATAAGTGGATAAATTATCTTGCAGTCCTGTGATCTGTAAAATGTAACAGTACATTTATGATTTCTCTTTAGGAATTTTTCAGATCAAGACTAATTACGAGTTTCCAGTTGACCAGCACTCATAGGGTAAGGCTAACGTCCTCAACTGTGAGCATGTGGTAAAGGTATGTTGGTAACTTGGGGCAAGTAAATACTGAATACTTAGTATGTAAGATTTTTGAGTTAAATATTTTTTATTTTACAGATGTTTTGAGTAAAATCTATCTGAGGTTTTAAAACCACTTAATTAACAGAAGGTTAAATCTACATATGCGTATTGTAGTAAAAAACGTCCCCATCCCTGTGGGATTCGTATGTAGGGAAGTCTGGTGGCATCTTATTTGTCATTTTTTAAACATTAAAGATCTAAGGAATATAATAAATGGCCACCAGAGACTAGCATTTATGTCTGTACGTTCCTGATTTTTTTGTTTAAGAGTAACATTTTTAATGCTTAGAATTGGATTGCTAAGTAAAAGATGGCCAAGAATAGACAAGTTAGACATAAACAAGTCTTATACTCTGCTGCTTGCCGTAAACATCATTCTTCTTGCATAATTATGGAAGATTCATCCTTTGTTAGCTCTGTGACACTGCTTTTGTTTTTGACACAATGAATAAGGTCTTATGTAGCACAACTCCCTAGCATTGTAAATGCAGCATCTGTCTTAAAAATGTCACCCAGCTCTGATCACATAGCCCAGGTCAATCAGGGGTGAAGACAAGGGTCTGTCACCTGCAACACTCTGAACACCCTTCTTTTTTTTTTAAGGATGAAGGTGAAGATCCTTTGACTTTGGGGCTATATCCACATTTCCATGCTGATTCATTGAGCTGAATGTAGATTTTTTTTAAGCGGATAAAAGATATTGCCATTCATTTACTTATGATCTTTTTAATTTAATTTTTTATTAAATCATAACTGTATACATTTATGGGGTACAATGCGATGATTTGATATACAATGTGGAAGGCTTAAATCAAACTGATAAACATAACCGTCACCTCACTTATTTTTTGTGGTAAGACATTTATAATCTACTTTTAGTTGTTGATCTTTTACTGACTTTTCTGTCACTCTGAACAATGTATTAACCAAAATCTTTCCCGTGGCTGCAGCCCTTTGTCACTCTTCTGCTCTCCCTGGGCTCCTGATATTCCAGCCACAGTGGCCTCCTACCTGCCCCTCACACCTCTGAGCTTTGTTCTTCCTTCCCACTGTAATGCTCCGCCCATTGCTGGCTCCTTTTTGATCCCCATGTTAATGGTAGTCCCTCTCTGAGGCTTTCCCTGACTTTATATTCTTCATAGCATTTCTGATCATTTTGTGTTTGCATAGTTGATTTATTCATATTTCCTTGGTATGCCTTGGTAGGGCCTAGCCTCCATATTGAATGTATATAAATGTTAACGTTTGAGAAAAGATTACAGTTAGCCTCATTCTCATTTTTAAACTATTTCTGGAGTACATTGGTTTGTCTGGCCTAGAGCTAAACTATCTCTCCCATTTTAATTTATTGTTTATAAAAAAGAATTATAGAGATGTTCTTGATTGTATTTGCAACTTGATTAAGAAGGCTTATTATCATAATACTTAGGAAAGGTAGTCAGAATCAATGCTACCAGCTTTCCAGTTCTTTTTAAATCAGGACCCTTGCTCATAAGCCCGTGTTCTATTACTTTACGAACCTAGATAAGCCACTTAAACTCGTCTGATTTTAGTCTCCTTACTTACAAAATAAAGAGTGGGCTTCAATTTCTGTGGTGTCTTTGTGGATTAGATCATTCACATGACTCTCCTCTTGTGAAAGGTAGGTCACCTGTGGAGGAATGAGGAAAGTAAATGGGGTGCTGGGTACAGTGGCTCACACCTGGAACCTAGCACTTGGGGAGCCTGAGACAGGTGGATTGCTGGAGCTCATGAATTCAAGACCAGCCTAAGCTAGAGCGAGACCCCGTCTCTAGAAATAGCTGGGTGTTGTGATAGTCACCTGTAGTCCCAGCTACTCGGGAAGCTGAGGCAAAAGGATCACTTCCACCCAAGAGTTTGAGATTGCTGTGAGCTATGATGCCACAGCACTCTACCCATGATGACAAAGTGAAACTGTCTGAAAAAAAATAAAAATGGAGTGATGACACCTGCCTGTCATTCAAAAAAAGACAGTGTATGATTGATTGACAAGGGGCTACACAGGGACCGGGTTGGGCTCTACAGTACTTTATTATGGCTTGCTTACTGTTGTGGGATGGGTGTGCTTAGAAAAATACTTTTACAAACCATAAAAGTTGATGAAGAAAAATTGGAAGTTGCCTTCTGTTTACACCTTCTCTTTAATAATTGTCTAGATGCAGGGGTGTGCAGTCTGCAGCCCACAGACACATGCAGATTATTTGAGGACTCTCTTGCTTATCTGTGGCCTCACACGTCATGGAAATTATACACAGACCTTTTTTTCTTTGCTCACCAGCTTTCATTAGCATTTGTGTATTTAATGTGTGACCCAAGACAACTCTTCTTCCAATGTACAGCAGAAAAGAAAAAAGGTTGGACACCCCTGTAGCCACCGATGGCTTATGCTCTGGAGTTAATATTACAATACAGAGACTATAACTTTTTAAATTTTAAGTCAATAGATAATATGGTAGCTGACTAAAACAACAAAGAATTCAGAGTTCCTTTCCTAAAGGGATGAGTCACATTCTATATTAAATGTAATGACACATTCTATAAATGCCAGAAACAAGGAAAAGTGAAGCATGTTCCTCAAAGTTCAAAATAACTCCGATTTAATTAGGACTTCTAGAGTTGTTCCAAAGGTTTTAATTCACTTACTAGCTTTATTTAATATTTATAACTATTCATTCTATTTCATTTATTCAGTAACTTTCTCTTGGGGCTTCTGATGATTAAGGTGACTTTTTAATATTTAGAGTATTATTTATGATCATTTCACTGACCCATTACTCTATAGCTTTGGACAAGAAGCTGTGGAATGGTAATTAATTGTGTGTCTATAGTCTCCTTTGGTTTTCCCAGCTTATTTGAATATGATGTCAGCTTCTGGTAACTCTGATTTCTGTGCTGTAGGAGTACAATGCCTTTACCTCACTGACCAGGCTTCTTTATTCTCTTTTATTCTTCCTCATCTAACAATCCTTCCTCATCTGATAGTTTATCAAGGGGACAGAAAGGTTGTTCTTCACTCACTCAATTCTTCCTTTCAAACAATTCATTTCTAGTGGCAGTATCCACCACCTCAAAGCTTGTGACTTCCTATGGTGGATGGGAGATGGCTGCTATTACTTAGAGTCCATTTCCCCCCACTTTTGATTCTGGCTCTGTCTGTCACCTCTTTTGATCAACAGAATGGGGCAGAAATAGTAGAGGGTAATTTTCAAGGCAGAGCCTAAAGAGATTTGTAGCTTCTGCTCTTGTGGGCTGGAAACATTCCTTCTCAGACCTTAGCCCCGTGCTGTGAGGAGGCCTAATCAGCCATGCGGAGGACTGGCAAGGCCTCGGTCAACAGCCCAAGCGAGGCTCTCGGCCAGCAGCCAGACCAGGGTCCAGCCCTGTGATTGAGGCACTTTGGATCGTCTAACCATTCCAACATTCCAGCTGACAGCATGTGAACTGCCTCATCATTCCACAGAATCATGAGAAATCACGAATTGTTATTTTAGCCACTAAGTGTTAGTGTGCTTTGTTATGCAGACTAAAGAACAACAACAACAAAAAAATGCTACCCAAAAGTGACATGCTGCTGTAACAAAAAATATGACATTGGCTTTGGGACCAGGTGACAGTGGAGTCCTAAGGGCAATAAGAGTACTATTGCTACTAAAGAATGTATTATAGCATGAAACCCTTGCTTTATATTGACAGAAACATCAGCAAGACTATATGTTACCTGCAGTAACATGAAATAGGGAAAAAAGCCCAGTGAACTTGTGGATCTAGCTTAGAGATTTTCAAGCAGAATATGGAAAACACCCAATTGACTCCTTTTTTTAATCACCTATTATCCAAGTATTGCAAAAAAAAAAGATGAATTAAAGAAGAAACTTGGCTTGGCTCCTGTTGCTCAAGCGGCTAAGGTGTCAGCCACATACACTGGAGCTGGCAAGTTCGAATCCAGCCCAGGCCTGCCCAACAACAGTGACAACTACAACCAAAAAATATCCAGGCATTGTGGCAGGTGCCTGTAGTCCCAGCTACTTGGGAGGCTGAAGCAAGAGAATCACGTAAGCCCAAGAGTTGAAGGTTGCGATGAGTTGTGATGCCATGGCATACTACCCAGGGCAACTGCTTGAGAGTCTCAAAAAAAAAAAAAAAAAAGAAGAAACTTCAGATTTTAACCAGACTTTGAGCCAATCTAGAATTTTTTAGGGTCATAACTAAAATTGTTTCTCATCTCCAACTTCTCTTCATAGCAAAAGATACTCAAAGAAAGAAACAGCCTCAGGTCCAGAAATCAGATCCAGAGCACCACTGCCAGTAAAGCTTTTTCTCAGATAATAATAAAAGACAAGGCATAGCTGTCAGACCTGCTGTTAAAACTTCAAAAAAATTTAAGGTGTTTCCTCCTGGACCCTCTGTTAGGTGGAAGAGCTTCTAAAAACTTCAAGAGTGTTGTCCCATAGCATCTTGGACTGGATTTTTATGACAGAGTCCTGGATTTAGGCATAAATTTGATGCCATAGTGAGATGAAACTCACTCACTACTTGGGTGACTTGGGAGCATTTTGCCTAAGGGAACAATGCAATCATTTATGGCCAGAGAGTAGACTGTGGAGGAGAAAGCAAGGCTACAAGTTCTTTGCCACCTCTCCCACTGAGAGATGGAGTTTGCTTCCTCTCCTCTCGAATCTGGGCTGACTCAGTGACTCTTTGACCAATAGATTTTGGTGGACATGGCACCGTGTTACTTCAAGGGCTATGCCTTTGAAGTACAGATCTGCAGCTTTCACATCTGTGTTTAGAATGCACCATCTTAGAACCCAGCCACCATGCCAGGTGGGGACTTGCAAGGAGCCACAGATGCTAAGTGGGGACTCCCAAAGAACCACAGGGGAGTCTCACACAAAGCAGTTACCAGCCAGCATTTAGTGCCAACTACCAGCCTAA